GAGCAAAAAGAGATCATCATGTAGATGAATGTCCAGAGGGACGTTATCAACACATCATCAATCAAACGAAGCAATGAGCAAAAAGAGATCATCATGACTCAATTTGTGTGTGCGCAAATGAGGCGAATCATGTGTGCGCGTTTGAGTTTGGGGTAACATGGGCTGTTTAAAGAGGAATGTAATCGATGTGTGCGCAGATGAGGCGAATCATGTGTGCGCATTTGAGTTAAATATATAAAAAAGTTTGTGTGCGGATTTGAGGGGAATTATGTGTGCGCAAATGAGGCGCCATCCTCGACAGCCGCCCACACCGCGCACGAACATCCGAAGTTAGTCAAATGGAGCTTCACGGGGTGATGCTGCAATAAAGGAGGTTTATGATTCCTAAGTCAGAAGTGAAGGAGAGTCAGATGCGAAAAGAAAGAGGGGGTATATAAACGTGTTTCCCATGGGACCATGTCTGCAAATTTGTAACGTAAGTGAGCAGGACCAAGATTTTAAGTGAGCTTCTGCGAACTAATTTGGCTCCAAATGGGGGACAAGTGCAGCCATCTAGGCGCCAGGTTGGCTGTCTTACGGCTGCGTTGGAGCCATCTTGGGGCCAACTTCGTCTACCTTGGGGCCCATAATGGTGATACAACTTCGGCATTGCCAAAAGCCATCCAAAAATTACACCTCCAAAGCGCTGTCCCCAATGGCCCTGCAGCCGAGCAAGAATCAACGCAGCAACCACCCCAAAGCACAAAAACTACTCCAAAACGCCCTCCTTAGTGGCCCTGCAAGCACGACGTAACGAAAAATCATCCAAAAATGTACCTCCAAAGCGCTCTCCCCAGTGGCCCTGCAGCTCAACCATAGCCACGTCGCGCGAAAGCCCCCCGCCTAGCAGAGCTATATGCATAGGATTGCATAGGATGTTTTTGCTAGAATGCAGAGCTCGACGGCAAGAGCCCCAATAACACACCCTGCACCGACAAGCGGTGTGGGCGGATTCCTGAGTTCATTCCATTTCATGGCATGACCTGGTTGTTTTATCAAACTTCTTACTCTATCTTACTCTGGTCTTCGGATGCGTTTCTCGAAGCAAATCGCGTTCCTTCGCATACGACCTGAGACGGTGGCAACCAAGGGCTGGGTGTTTCTTTTTCCTGGCTTGGCTCCATATTTTGGTTTTTTTTTTGCGTGTTTGATCGTGTTTTCTTGGACATGACAAAGTTTGAAAGTGGCCTGGAAAGAAGAAAACAACTCAAGTGATGGACTTCGCCCTTTAGGTGTTTTAGAGGATCAGCGGCAGGCGCTATGTCATCTTATGTCTATACAAAGAAACCAGAAGGTCTCCAAGCCTGGGCCCAGAAATATCTCTAGGTTCTCTTATTGAGGTGTTCATTCTCCCCCCACCTTTCCGTATTTGCCATGCCGTATTTCTATTGTCCGAGTTTAGAGGTTTTTAGCACTTCGCACGACGAGCCGCACTCTCCACTCAGACTCTCAGGTGCTGCTGGGCTGTGTGCTTGAAGCACTTTGCACGGCGACCACAGCCGTCGTTGGCGCATCCCCTGACTGGGCCTTGAGCTGGGAACCCACCATCAGGCTGACGAGCGCTAAGCCTTCATTCATCACGCCGCGCTAAGCGGTTTTCGGGTGCTGTCCGCTCTGCCGAGCCTTCACTGAATGTCCAAATATGTCATTCATTGGGACCACTTTCTGCCCGGGGTATGCATTCAAGGTATTACAAATTGAATCAAATTGATTCGATGTATGAATAAGTAATTATGAATATAATTGAATATATATATATATTGTTGTTGGAGCAAGTCAGACACTTGTTTATGCACTATAGACTTTGGTCGCGGACACATTTTGCTTTTGTTTTTGTTGTACCTCTTTGGGCGAAGAGCTTCTGTGGCCAGGCCGCATGAAAGCTACGCGATTGTCTTTGTTTTAACCGCCTACGCATTGGGCTATGGAGCAGTCACAAGTGCCATGCCTGTCATGACCAGGACGCGGGACTCTTCATTCCATAGTATCTTTCTTTCAGAGGCTACTGGTTCTCGACCCTTCCTTTGCAACAGTGGATGTCAATGGATGTCGCGTCTCAGTCGACCGCTCTCCTCGACTCACGGCCTCAGAGGAGAGCTGCACCAGAGGGAAGTCTGTGCGCTGGCCTCATGCAGGCGAAGCCGGTCGCCACCGAAATCGACCGTCGAGGGTCGCGACCGAGTTGGCCGAAAACACGCCCGGATGGTTTGGTTTGGGTGATGAGTGGAGGTGGGTCCAGTGCCATCACCGCTTTCGCTGTTCTTTCTTTCGCTGTTGCGAGCCGGAAAGAGGGACGAGGACTGAAGAGTCGCCCAGGGTATCCAGTTCTTCCCATGGAAAACAGGGAGCCGTTTGGAGCGATCACGGGAGTTCCCGGATCCCTTGCCAGTTTTGGGCATGCAAATGGATCATAATGGATCTGCCTGGTCCGGATGCACCGAGTATGAGTAGTCTCTGTGTGCCGATCCACACACGTGTGATGCAAACAAACCAGGCCTTTGTAGCAGTCCTCTCCGCTGGAGCCATTATGGGGATTAGCGCAGTGCCTTGTCTGCATGCATGGCCCTTTGCTCTCTTTTTATGGGATCCAAGTGATCCAAGTACTACTCAGTCAGGTGGTGGCACCCTTCTGCACATGGACACAGGAATGTCAACTGTCAAAGTATGACAAGCACTGCAGAAGAATAAGAAGACAACTCACACCCATTCTTGGATGCGGAACATTCCAAGCACTTGTGCTAGAACGAATTCTAAGGAGCCACCACATGACGCAAAAAGCCCTGCTCAGGCTGCGCTGGCTCAATCCTATCATGAGGATCACTGGGCACTGCTGAGCGCGGTCATTGCGCTAGCGTGTGGCATTTGCTTTCTTCCACCAATTGGAGGCCGCTGCTCCGTGTTGCTTCATGCTGCTTTCTAGAGGCTTTCAGGACCTAGCCCACCATGGGCGGCATGAATGCCGAGCCCCACAGACTTGTCCCTCCTGCCACTCGTCCCTCAAGCAATGCAGAGCAACGTCTGCTCGTTTGCGGAGGCACGCCTTTGCCCTTTGCAAGGCGCAACATGTTTTATGTTGAAGACCACACCAGGGAATTGATGGTCCAGCGAGGCCTACTTGTAGTTGGACCACAGCTTGCGTCTCGGACAAAAGTTCCAATTGGCCAACAAATTAGCACTGCATGCAATTCGCCCGAGCACCACTCTTTGAACTGAGTTGTGAGCGTGCAGGTGCATCCTCCGCTTAGCCTTGCGCTTGGGGCCAGAAGAGCTTGCGATGCTTGGCTAATAGCATGCTCTACTTTCAGAAGGTCCAAGCGGTGCCAGGCGAGATAGTATGATTTGCAGCCTGTTCACTGCAAGGAAGCAATCACTGTTTCAGCAGCTCAGGGCCAGGTCTGTGGCAGGTTTTGACCGGTGAACCCACACGGCCCGCCTCGCTTTCAAACCCTTGAGCTGAGGCTTTGGGAAGCGAGAGAGGAGGCGACCAATCGGCTCTTAGGCAGGCCCTGAGGGTGTTGGATTCAAACCCGACACGTGCGTGCCTTTGCTCAACCACGTTGACGTCGTCACCTTGACGTTCTCGGACGGAAGACGTGTCTTCGGTGTGTGGACGCCACCAGCAGATCCGCGTGCCTCGGGGGACATGTATGGGATCCCCTTTTCCCCGCGCAACCAGCAGATCTGCCACAACGAACATCACGCTGGACTGTTTACTGGAGCTTGTTTGTTTCACAATGGGTGGGGATACCACTCGTTGGTTTAGGCCTGTTGAAGCTGTTTCCGCCGACGTGACTGCTGGAGCCAGGCACTTCTACGACGCCGCTCGGAGCGGCGTCCGAACAAAGCCTTTCGCAACTCATGCCATTGTTTTGGCGCCTGCTCCTCTTGGTGCCGTCCTTGGGCTGCGTTTGGCGCTATGTCTACGTTTGAGGAACTGGGCTGGGCACGGTTGGCAAGTCACGTTTGGATGCAAAGATGCTGTGCACGGTTGGCATGTACGGCATTGGGCAGATGGACATGCCTTGCATGGGTCGAGGACAAAATTCAAATTGTTCAACTATGATTGGCTGTACGGGCTGTCAGCAGTTTTTGGCAGAGTGCATTTCGTGGCAAAGAATGACACATTGTAGTCAGCAGTGAGTGACCTGTGTTAGTTATATAGACTGTTAGACCTTTTGATTCTGCCCCAAGGCTTACCTCAACCATCCTCAGCCATTCATGACACTCAAGGTATGTAACTATTCAGTAGGAACTGTCCTAATGAAGATGCCTGTGATCTGAGCTAGGGTCAGCAACGGGCAAAATGACATGACAGTGACAAGTCGTCGTTTGTAGTCACAAGATGCATGTGTTTGCTGCAGAACCAACCAGAACCCAACAAACACTCATGGAACACGATCACATTGACATGACATGAATCGGGGGCGATCACCAAATCCCAATGACCTGAGACGGCCAAATCCAGATGACCTGATGGCCGCTCCAGATGACCTGATGATCCTGATGGTGTAGGACGGTCGCTCCATTTTCACTCCTCGAGGTTCTATGGTGCTGCCATTCAATGGACCACCTCTTGGTATGTCCAAACTGCCTACCTCGATAGGCGGGCTCGGCTCGGCTCGTTCTTGCAAACACACGCACACACACACACAAGCTGATCTTGGATCATTTTGGATCTCAAGTCCCAAGCACTTCCACAACCTCTTCAGGTCTATTGATGTATTTGATATATATCTTTTCTTCTTTGACTTGGTGTTCTGATGGTATCCTTTACTTTCGCAGCCACTTGCAGGATCTGACACGACATGACTGCCACAAGATGTGTTCACTTCGTGCCACCGAATTCAGGAATGTTGCTGGCTTCAAGGTACCTGTCTGCCTACTCCAGGCGGCGGGTGTGTCATACACCGGGAAAAAGACACTGCTTCATGCCACATCTTGTTGGCATGGGGTAGTGGGTAGCGCGAAAATGACATGTTGCCTAAGCACAAACTAAGAGATCATTGTATATTCTTCGAGAGTTGCCGAAAAGAGACCTTCTACCATTGCCTTCCAAAGCTTTCATGTTTTCCACAACACTGCATGCATGGTAAGTTCCAGTCGTTGAGTAAGTTCGGGTCCACCTGCTACTTAAAGACATGCATAAAGACATGCAGTGTGATAAGAACTCAATGTGCAACATCAGTGCATCGGATTTTCCAATATTTTTTCAAGACTGATTGTTCGTCGCAGGCATTCGAGCGCTTGATGAGTCTGGCAGCGTTGACCTTGTTGCGTGGTACCTTTGTGCTCTGGCGGACAGTCCGGGCGGTTTTATGACACAAGCTATTGGGATGGCTGAGTTCGAGCGACATGCACCATATTTCGAGATCAGATACAGCTGATAAAGAGATAGATACAGATAGATCAGATAAAGGTCAACAAGAAAGAACTCATCCTGTTTGCTGGGAAGGCCTGAAGTCCACTTTTCAGGCGCTCGGGGCGGATGATTCATGGTGATTCATGGTGGATGGCTGGCCTCAATTTAGTGCTTCACGACCGAATTCCCGTAGTCCCCTTACGACCACCAATCCAATCAGATCGAATTAGCTTACTACCAAAGCAACTAGTAGGTTGGAGGCCATCGCTAGTAGGTTGGAGGCCATCCGTGCGGGGAGCCAAGATGCTTTATGCTAGTTTATGTTCGCCATTAGTTTGGAGGCCATCGCTAGTAGCTTGCAGAAGCCAAAAGAGGTCCAGAGAGCTTGGTTGCCACTCCGCGGTCGGTCCGACCCAAATTGAGGTGCTGAAGCTCAAGCCGTCCACCCGACACTTGTTTGCCGCAAGCGAGGTATGTAAGAAAGAGTAGGTCAATAGGATTGGGATGGATTCGGTAGTTTCGGAGTTTTGCTTTCGATAGGTTCATATTGGTTCAGGCATCTATTTTTGGATATGTTTGGAGTTTTGCCTGGTTTGGGCACCAACAATCTCTGTTAGACGAGAAGTCGTGCTGCGATGCCATCAAAGTGACTTCATGTTGCTGGCGAGACATTGAACCTTCTTGGACTGGAGTATCTTAAGGACACTGAACCTTGTCTCAAGTCGTTTCTCAAGGACCGAATGGTTTCTTTGGTTCAATATTCACACCGCTTCGCGGTGGGAGCCCGCACAGATTACTGTAAATGGGTAAATGTATCGGGTTGGTTATTGGTGTGGGAAGCAGCAACTTGTGCCGTCGGAGCTGGTCTGTCGTCGGTCTGTCTGTCTCGGTCTGTCAGTCTCTCTTGGTCGGGCTGGACGCGCGGACGACCACACACACACCATGTCAATAATGCAGCCGCACCCGGGCTGGATAACTGGCATCGCGGTTGCTTACCTCCGAAGCATTCCGAAGCCACACGGACAATCATACATGTTTTGTTTAGCTTCAAAGCCCCTAGACACAAAAATGCACCCCCAGGCTAGGAATCTAACAGCTTGCGCCTTATTCCGGCTTGTTGATTGCTTCGAAGCCTATACAACGCCTCAGCACTTTCGGTGCGGGCGGGTTTCTTCCAAATCGACACTTTCGTTCGCCCCCTGCGTCACCAAGGCCTCTCCCTAGGATCCTTTCTGGCGGCACTCAGCATGTTTTGCAGCGCTGGGGTGGAGATTTGGCGCAGAGACTGGAGTCAAAGGCTGGCAGGCGCTGTTCTTCAACTTGCTTCATGAATCAGATGACTCAGATGGCTCCAATGCCCCTCCAAAGTTGGATTGAAGCATTTGCCAGCCTTGGCAAGCGATGGGGTTGACTCATGGCAGGTGTTCAATCCATGTTTAGACACGGATTGCTCCCGTGCTCCAAGTCTTGGGCCGTGCAGGAGACCCTGACATTTCCAGCTTGACGGTCTTGTGGCTTTTGCCTCAGTTCGCTCTGATTGCCGCAGCAGAGGCTTTCGTTTATCCAGTCATTTGCCTGCAAGCAAAGAGGCTGTTCACCCAGAGCCTGGACATACTGTGCCATCAATGGCACCTGCGTAGGCCTTGCAAGAAGACTTGATCCAACCTGAAAGATCTATGGGGTGCAGAAGCTAAGTGAACAATTCCTCGCCGCTGTGCCAATGAAACTGGTAAGACTGGCAAGATTTGGTTCAATCATGTTCAATCTTCAATCCTTTTGCATCCTTTTGTGAGAATTTAAGAAAACAAACTTAACAAAAATGGGGCGCCCTCTGAGTGGCAAGACTGGACGGTTTCTTTCGCGCTTCAATTCAAAATGTCGGGAGCCGGAACGCGTCGTCGGGTGCACCGGAACCATTTCTGGGAAACCGTAGGGGTGCCAACATCAGTGCCAACACCCCCCTACGTGGTGCGACCAAATCGGCCAATCATTTGCAGTTTCTTTGGCCTAACTGTTGGCATCTGGGCGATTGGCATCACGTAAGACCCGATGGACTGACCCAACGTGCGTCATTCTCCGGAACGAGCAATGAAGAGCTCAAGTGATCCAGGTGGTCCTCCTTCAGTTTAAGGTAAATTTGCACCTGCCATTTTTTTCAGAGTAGGCTGGATCAGGACCTAGGAGATGATGCTGCCAGAACCGGTTCTTTCGACTGAATAAGTTTATTTATGAAAGACCAAGATGTCCATTAGATGATCATAGATGTCCAGACCATGTAAAGAGGATCGGATTTTTTTGATGACCTGAGGCATCAGCGGAATTCGTCTCTGCTTCAACTTGGCACTACGGGCTCGGCTGCCTGGTGCAAGCTGCTGCCGTGGCGATGTTGGGGTTGGTACTGGGGCAGCTACAGGATGGGCATCATGGGCAAGGGGGCTCTGCAGATTTGTTATATTTGCGCTGTTGAGGCTTTTAGGGTGTGGGACCCTTTGCATGTTGATCATTCAGTCCTTCTCATTGCACGCTTAGGGCGGTACTAGGGAGTGGCCTTTTCCGGGGCTACTGCCTACTGCCTTTGATCAGAGAGTTGAAATGAGAGTTTAGGAGTCGCGTAAACGTCCACACGCGCGACGAGTTCACATGGTTGCGGGATCCACATGGTCTTTCAACGGACGTTGTGGGAGGACTGGATCCCTGAGTCTTCTCCGAATGACGGGCACTACGAGCCACGGCTGCATGGCGGTGGGTGTTTTGGAAAGACGTTACGGCCTCAGTGGCCTCAGTTCGTCCGCCCGTCTTTTTGCAGACAAAAACACCCCCATCAAACCCTCACTCACCGCGCACTGGGCCATACTGGGCCGCATGGCTGAATGGTGACCTGGCAGCCAAACCTGAAGTGAACATTAGTGACGCTGGGACTGACCCTCATGCGTGCTCCGAGAGGACCCGAGAGGGGAAAAAAGCCAAACCTGAAGCGAACATCCCAAATTCGAAGGTGCTCATCCCTTCTTCCACCCCACGTTTTTTCCGGGTCGCAGGAACCTACGTCGCTTTCCCCCCCCCCCCGCCGCTGAGGACAAGTTCTTCGCTTGCGTGGGAGCTGCCTGCCTCATAGCAACGGTTCTGTTTCTAGCGTTTCCGTGACTTGGTCGCACTGCGATTCGCATCAAAGGACAAGTTTCTACATGGACAGAATCAGCTGATCTGGCTGGTTGATGTTTGGATATGTTTGGGACACCCGGAAACCAAACCGGGGTTGGTGTGAGGGTTGCACGATGATAGATGCTGCAAAACTCTGCAGCCTTTGCACATATTGTCAGGGGTGTTTGTCCAAACGTCCCATTGTCAGGCCCCATCCAAACATGTACACGCTTCATGTGAAGCAAGATTTGTCCACAAGTCTCGATTTTTGTCGCTGCGACGTCGCATCGACGTCGCAGACATGTCGAGACCACCCGAGACCAAGCCCTCGATGTCAAGACTCGCATTCCGAGCTCGGCGCATTCCGAGCATTGACGAACGGCCCTCTGAGGTTCTCCTCTTCGAGCATGTCTGCGCTGAGGTGAAGAGGGACTTCGCAAAAAAAGAGTGAAGCGACGTCGAGCGAAGCGAGCGAAGCGAGCGAAGCGAACGAAGCGTCTTCCATTACTGGAGCGAAGAGTCTAGACTAATGTTGGATCCTGATTAGTAAATAGGGCCCCCCCCCTACCTCAAACAAACAGGGGATCCTCTATAATAAACTATCACCAAAACAAATTTGGATTCCTGTGAGAATTCCTTTTTGTAATTGATTGTAGTATTCATTTTCCTTTCATAGATTGTATTCAGCTTCGTTTCTCAGGTGCTTTGTAATTGTTCTCAGCAACCCTTTTGCTTTGCAGCCTCAGATCTTCAGCTCAAGAGAAAGCTATATCAGCTAATGAATCATAATCATTGGCCTCAGGAGCTAAGTAAAGGAAGATTCCATGAGCAGTTTTTTGCAGTGGAAAAAAATCACAATTGAGAACCCAAACACAAATCTATTGTTGAGGATCAGGTGCCTTCCTGGTCTACTACCTTGAATTTTTTTTAGGAGCAATGTTTTATATATAAAGGATTTAATCAGTAATTGGTGGTTTTGGAAAGCTGTCAGTTTTGAAGAAACCTAGAGAAACCTATATCAGCTAATGAATCATAATCATTGGCCTTAGGAGCTATGTAAAGGAAGATCTCATGAGCAGATCTATTTTTCCAGTGGAAAACACTTTTCTTATTTGCTTGCCTGCGAAGGGAGGGGGGAGTGCAGGTGGACAGGGTTCAGAAGGAATTCAAACCCTTTATAAGTGTCCAATATAAAAACTTTAGGGTCCCCCAAAAAATTTAGCAGTATTCAGGACAACTTTTTCAAACATGGGGTCTGGAATAATTTTGGAAACATTTAGCATTATTGAGGAACCATTTGCTAATCAGCGTCCAACGTTAGTCTAGACTTAAACACATCGAGGAAAAAAGACACCGACCGACGTATTGCGTGTTCGTCCTCTAAGTCTGACTTGACCCATATCGTTTTCACATGTGCTGTGCTCTGGTCAAGACGTCTACATAATTCTACCATACATATAAGGTAATGTGAATGAGTCATAGTTATACATATAGTTATGCAGTACATGACTATATAATTTATGTTTCACAAAAGATTTGTCCCGTCGTTCACCTCAGGCTCAAGCTTTTCCAAAACATTTAGATTCAAACATGATAGTCATAGAGTTGAATCAGTTGAATCATACATAACGAAACAACTCGACCGCCACAAGCAAAATGGATGTCATCGATGTTCGGTCTGTTTGTTGTTAAACCGGGCAAACATTGGATAGTCGACGGTATGGTTGAGAAGTTGCAGTAGGCAGAGAGCTGCAGACTGACGGATGGAGTTGATCTGGAGTGTCGGGCGCAGGGCCCAAGAGAATGCGACGAAAGCATTCAAATGGGTCTTCGACAGTGAGCCAAAAGTGTTGCACTGCGTGGCTTGGGCACAAATGGCCACGTGTGGGGATCAGAAGACGGCAGGTTCGCTGAAAACCGCTCAAAACCAGGAAGGTCAATGACCAACACGGCGTAGGCCACAGCAGCCCAACGCTCGGGAAGACGGAGAGCCATCTCCCCCAAACGAGGAACACCCCAGGTGCCGTGGTTGACGACTGTGCACGACTGGGAGAGAGGGTGACGACTCTGTGCTCCACCGAGATTCGGTGACGCCTCTCCTTCCGCCAAGCGTGTTTCGAAACACGCCCCGCGATGCGTCCACGGGTCGGGGGGGTCAGGTTCGGGTGGATGAGAACCTTTGGCCGACCTCCCCCCAATAGCGGCCTCCAACCTAATAGCAATCCTGGCGTGGAGAGACCACGGCAGGTGGATGAGACCTTCACACATCAGAACTTCCCCGCAGCGTCCGAGCAGACACTGCAGTTGCGCCGACAGACCTGGGCGAGCTTGCTCTATCGCTTCCAGAAGTACGGGCATTTCTCCACGGGCAATCGGGTGGCTTGAAAGAAGGTGAGAAGGTGATCATCTCATTTTACTTGTTTAGCCCACCTCCAACCTAATAGCAATGACCTCCAACCTACTAGCGATGGTCACAAGATCTCATGATCTCATCACGAGACCTTGTGACAATGTCCTTTTTTCTCCACTGGTGAGAAAACGACTCTTCAGAGAATCAAGAAAGGAAGCCACTGCTTTTTGGCGATCGAAACATCAATCCAAGACAATCCAGCGGTCTCGAGCTGAGGTCCAAGCTTTGGAGGGAGGAGATGCCTGCTTCAAGGAAATGTTAGAGGTCATCTCCTTGTCTCAGACGCCTGGAGAAATTGGGGGCGAGAAATGGGGGCGCGCCCACCCCAAGCAAGCGGTGCTTAAGCTTTGGCTATCCAGGCTGTCTATATCAATCATACGCCTTTTCCCATGTCATGCCGAGCCTATTGACCTGTCATGTGCCGAAAAGAACACTCCTTTGAGCCACTGTAGCGCTTCGGTGGATGTCTGGGCGTCGACGGGAGTCCTGCGAATGACAGGACTCGGGTTTGGTGCGAAAGTTACATCTTTGACAACAGCGACTTGGTGGAAATGGAATGACATGGATCACCCCCGTGTTTGGTAGATTATGGTAGATTCGCTTCATGATTTAAAAAGGTGTTGCAGTGCTGCACCAACGAGATCCTCCCGATTGTTCCAGGTGTCATATAATACAATATCATACAATATCTATTTTGAAAGTTGTCCTGGACCTGGACGCTTCTTAGACGCCCGTTTCGACATATTGACACAGAGTGTCTTCGGACGGTTTGTCCATTCTTCATTTTTAACATTTATATCAGAATATAAGATCTGTCATTTATATCTGATATAGACATTTATACTTCTGATATAAGATATGTCATTCCAATCTTGCGAATTTTTCTGAGGCCGCGTGGCCGAGATCTTCTTCATGGCGCTCCGTGAAGCGGCGACGCGTGGCCTGGACGTGGTCTTGCTGGTGGACTACATTGGTGCCTTCGCGCTGCGACAGGACCAAAGGGGAAAGGCGTGAACAAAAACAACACGAGGAACAAATTGCTGTTCTTTCAAGATTTCAGAGATATTTTAAGATACTGTAATCCTTATGCTTTGAAGTGATTTGAGCACTTTTGCTTCATTTACTTTTACTCATATTTGGGAAGGATTGATCTTTTAGATGGAAGATGCTGAGCACATGCTTCGTGACTATTTGCAGAACAGACACAAAAGCTGGTCCTTGGCAATGATGTCTTGTTCGGCTACAGTGGCTACAGTCAAAAGCATTTCACCAACCAGCCGAGAAGGTATTCGTATGGTTGTTGGATGAGAATATCCCTAAAGACCCCTGTTGTGGTGCAATTTTGAACGCTTGCCAAGCGCAGCAAGAAACATTCTTGATCTTCGCTTCTCAACATTCTTGATCTTTTCCGAACCGCAAGAAGCCATCCGTCCGACGTTTGGTCCATCGCGGTTCTCTCCACCGACGTTTGAGGACTGGGTGCAGGAGCTTCGCAGGGCCGGAGCCGAAGTGGTGTTCTTCAACCCGGTGCTCCCCGCCAGCCTTTGCGTGGGCCCCATCTCCTTCCGAGCCTTGAAAGTGGACGGATGGGGATGGGAGAAGCAAGGAGAAGCAGGTCAACGGCATGCTGATGGGGCTGTTTGCAACGGATCTCACGGTCATGAAACCTTTTAGCATCTTTCAACCGTGCTCAGTTGTTGACCAAAACCATCCAGTCTGAAAGGGTTGCAGTTGATTCCTGGAGGGTGATTGGCGCGTGGCATTCCATAGTCACGTCCAATCAAACTGACTCCTCGTAACCTGTGGATTCTAGAGGCGCTCTTCTTTTCTCCTAGAGTGTTCATTGAAAGATTGTGCTGGTCGTCTCCTGACAAGACCCAACGAGGAGACCACCGGAAGATTATGATTTGCGACGACGTGGGCTTTTGTGACTTGCCTTTGAACCAGATCCTGTAGGGGATAAAGTGGGTCCATCGAAATCGCCTCACAACGCAATCAGCGGGCACAAGGCGGCCACCGCCGTGGCCTTTTTTGTGAGATACCAATAGCCGCAGCGCGGCCGTTCGTTACTTTTTGATCTCCGAATGGCCTGTAATGGTGTTCTTCAGGTCTCCATTCCAATATCCCGAGCCGAGTGCTGCTGGTCTCACCAGGACTTAAGGTTCAGCACAGATCTTTTGCGCGTTTGACTCCGGCTGAATTGCTTAGCAAAAGAGAATAGTAATGAGAAAGATTGTGCGTGAATCAGCGGCACCAGCTAATTAGGTGGTGGCATGAACATCCAAGAGGAGGTGGGTGAAGAAACATTTGGCACCAGCCGCTTCTACGATGTTCATGCAAAGTTGCTTGTCAGAATTATGCATCAAGCAAATGGCACCAAGCAAATGGCACATGTCGTGTTTCAACCCATCCACTCCACAATCTCATGAGCCATCTTCGCCAGTGGCACCGAGGTTGGAAGGACCCTGCGTGGCGGATTTGGCCGAAGTCTTCCGGGACTCCCTCAAAGAAGCTGGAGGGCATGTGCATCGAAACCCAATCCAGGTGCCGGAACTGTTGGAACCTGGAGTGTAGCTTGAAAAAAGGGGGCTGGGTGGTTTAGAAACCGTGTGGACACGGTCTGACACGGTCTTGTTGAAATATGTTGAATTTCTCATCTCAAGCAGGTTTCCTTACCTTCCTTGACTTTGCCAATGCAAGAAGTCATATTGGAAATCCTTCTTAGCTCTGCATTGGACCAGCGGTTTTGGAGCTTGGCTGGTCTCCGAAAGAGCGTTACTCAGGTATGTGCAGATCTTGCAGTCCAATGTTCGTCAGAGGCGACGGACCTTGCAGAAGGTCATGCAAAAAAGTATCGATGCTGCAAGTGAGTTGCTCACCTGCAGCCGGATGGAGCCAGTGGGCCCTGAGAGTTGCTCTCGAGTTGCCGGAAAAATCCATTCATGTCAAACCATGGCCTCCAACCTACTAAGTGAGATCACCGTGTTTTTGTTGGACAGCTCAGAAGCAATTCCTTTGTGAACTGGGAGTCTTCCAAATTAGAACTGGGAGTCAAAGTTTTGCTTTCTTGATGATGTATATTGACGAGAAAAAACTATATATCCACAAATTCTATCACGATGAATGAGCTAACATACAACTGGGTTTCCAGAGCTTAAAAGATATGATGAGGAGTTTGTTTGTACATGTTCAATTTTAATTTCAGAGCATTTTTGCTCATTGGCAAATGGGGCAGGAAGATTAGATTCCACTAACTGAAAATTAGAGTTGTTTGATGTGATGTGGTTCAGGTGCCCTTGAACATGGCCAGGCACAGGAATCGATTTCGGGCCCAGCTGGCGCACACTCTGAATATGAACCAAAATGATTCAACAACCTGATAATTCGAGTTTGCCTGACAGGCACACGCCAGAAGAGCACCAAGTAATTGGATGTTTGCACGCTTTCGCAGGGAAGCTTGAGCCAAGACGATTCGATGTGATGGACATGGATCAATTTTGACTGTGCACAAGGTCAGTTCTGCTCACTACTGCATATTTCTTCCCGCCGACTTTCTTGAAGGCGGCTTTGCTGCGTCTTGCTCCAAGTTCAGCAGCTTTACGGTTTCTGGACATCTTGGGATTTTGCGGATCCCTTTTGCAGGGAAGTTCCTTCTCAGATTTGTCATCAAATGCACTTGTGTGGATCAACTTGTGGTTCCAAGGCGGGTGCCAACTCGTGGTGCACACCTTTCGCTGCTGTTGTCTGGCTCCTCAGACTTCTTTCCTTTGCCTGGACACTTGCCTTTAGAGATCAAATTGTTTTGTTGGTCTCGTTTGTGCTCGGAAGAAACAATCTCATCAGCTGGTGCCTTCCTGAGATTCAAGCGACTTAGGAGACCTGCTGGCGCAATCGCATTTTTTGCGAAGCTTTCTGAGGGATACTCCTGAAGACAAGGTGAGCGTTCACCTCTATGAGCAGCGCCATATGTACCTGTGCGAGCTTACAGTATGTTTTATGTATTTATTACGATTGCCAGGCATAGGCATGGCTGAGTCCTGGGCGAACGAGCTGGTCGCAGGGGCAGGGTGAACCCAGAGCCTGGTTGGGGATAAAACAAAGGCAGTCCAACAGGTAGTTAAAATGTATGTTTTTAATCGTTTTGAAGGGTCTTGGTGATGCGAGTGATGCACATGATGCTGAGTGGTAATCATTAGCATCACAAAGTGCTCAGGATATTATTAAAGTGAATGATAGGAAAGGACAGTAGCGCTCTAGGAGTTGAAATCGCTGATTACTGTCACGGTGCTTGACCTAGCTATTTTATGTGTGCAGTGCAGTAGTCCTCCTGGAATAGTTGCCACAGTCTAAGGGTTGGGGGTGCCCTTTTTAGCATGAAAAGGGCCTTAGCCCGGAAGAAAAAGGGCACCTCCTAGACTTGCAAATGTCCAAGGGAGTTGGGCACTTGTACAAGAGCATGGGGTCCAAGTCTATTCTATGACCAGTAACAGTGGATGGGGACTAGTAAAGGCCTTGTGTATGTAGGTTGTATCATATCGAGCCTCACTGTGAAACTTTGGCATATCTTTGCTTCTGTGTTCCCGTGGCAAAAAACGCAAAAAAGTGCAGCTTCGACTTCACCCCACAACAACAGTAATACAGTATATTATTGATCTCTCAATCCCGCACTTTCGCATAATTTCGCAATTGTTCGAAGTTCGTCACTTTTCCGCGATTTCAAAAACACACACACAACTCACAAAACTGTTGTACTTTCCTTTGTCCATGATTAGGTTCAACTGTCCTCTCAGGCATGCAAAGCACATGTGTGTGGACGGTGTTTTTTCCACCATCGGCTCCTTCAACTTTGACCTTTACTCGGCCCGGCGCAACCTGGAAGTCGGCGTGGCGGTCTTCGACCGCAGCTTTGCTCTCAGGATGCAGGTGACAACGACCGCAGCGCACGACGACGGTCCCAGTGGGTCTCGGTGGGTCCAGTGACGTCATACATGGCCACGTGTGCTTCTGGGCGTGAAGTGTTTCTTTCAATGACAGATGATTTGTGGGTTGAAATCAGTGGTGGTTGTTTTGTTGCTGGGGTTGTTCGCTCAAGGATCATCCGAACGACAGTGACCAAGAATGTGCCATATTCTTCGTGGCCACTGCTACAATCTTTGTTGACCGTTTTTTGTCAAGCAAGGCCAACGAACCTTGAGCCAGTCGAAAGCAACTCCTTCAGTCCGTTGTCACTACATGATTTTAGTGATATATAGTGATATATATATATATGATATTATATGACATGGACCATGGACATCCAACAGAATCACAGAAATTCCAGGTCAGTCTTCGTTCCGATGACGAGGATGCAAACGTTGAAGATGCACAGAAAACGTCTTGCCTTTCACTGGACTCCGTCCCAGGAGTTGCATCTCAAGCGCTTGAAGGAGTCCAGGCGGACCCTCTATAGTGACTGGACGCTAAGCTAACATCACCAGCAAGTCCTTCCCACGTTTTTGTTCCAGGTTCGACGATGCGAGTGGTCGTATGCCGTTGTCAGTGTTTGACTGCTGTGGCCTGTCGAGGGACAGTTCAGTCATGTTCAGTCGCAGACGCGGTTTCCGCTGCACGTTGGCATTCTTCGGATCCATAACAAAAGATGATGTGCCGAGTGCACTAGACTCAATAGACATCTTGAAAGGGCCAATGAAAGGTGGAGCAAGGATAGAGGCCAATAATTAGAGGACATTTCTTTGTTTTGCATTCGTTTGTTCCAGTGTCCCGCCGCAGTTTCTGCGCGTGTCGCCGCCGAAAGCGCGTGTCGCCTGTTGCGATGGATGAGGATTTACCACCAACCACTGGTGCGCGCCGCGTGTGCAGTGGCCTTTGGCCTCGTGCGGCTCTCTGGACGGAATGTCTTCGATGGCTTGGACTGCTTCCAACGGAAGTGGCTGTTGCGGAAGGCTGGGCTGTGACAGAAGGTGGCATGAAGGTACCACGTTCGGGTGGCGAAGGTGGCATGTAAGGTGGCGCCTTTCAAACTTGTAGCCTGTCGATTGAATCCTGCCAACATGCTTAGTCCCATTCCCCATGGCCAGAAGATGCTGTGAATCAAGGGGCCATGATCCCTCAGGGAGTGCTGGCCTTACTCGAATGCGAGGCCACCCTGACCTTCTTACTGGAGGAGCAGTCGCAGCCTCAGCTGTTTTGGAACAAGCGCCTTGCATTGAGAAACAATCGAAACAATGGTACTTTCAGGTGAAAAGACAACATACTGAGGGACCTGAGTAGGTTCTATTACTCATGAAGTAAAGTGCTTATCTTTGCAAAGCAAACCACTCATGCGTTTAGGATTGACTGCAGGAACAAAACATGAAGAATCAGCCAGCCATTGACAAGTCTGCTAGTCGCCATCGTCCGAGGTCTGCTCAGTTCATTGCCACTTCCATGATGTGGGGTCTGGAATGAGAGAGGACTGTGATTCCACCCATGACGAGGTTGAAGAGAAACCGCACAGATACACTGCGAAACGTGTGTGAGACTGCGAAACGTGTGTGTGTGTGTTTATGGATTGTTACGAGATGTTACGAGCAAGACCTGCAGTCGCAGGTGTTGATTTGTTTGCGGGCACACACCGAAGCTGGCGTCTTGAGCCAGTGATCGAAGAAGGCGATACCGTAGTAGCTCAACTTTGTACATAAATCAGGATCTAAAGGATTAGCTGGTGGTTTCAAAGGATTTTAGTATCTCTTAGCGGATCTTCCTTTAGATCGGATCCTTTTAGTCAGGATCTTAGTAGTCAGGATCCGCTTCATCCGCTCCAAAGATTGGTTGAAAAGTGAGCTGACAAAGAGCCTTTCATTCTCCCAGTCCTTCTCCCCATATGGCCACTGGGTGATGGACCACTGCCACAACTCTGCCACAACTCAGAGCACTTGAAAGTATTCGACTTGTCAGGTCTGGACTCGGTATGCAAAAGCCGATTTTTCGAGTTTTCTGCTTGCACTAGTCATTTGATTCGCCCCTGTTTGGCTCAAATGAGCTTTAATGTTGCCAAGCGGTCCACTTCCAAAGCAGTTGCGAACAAGTTCAGAAGTTTGTAAGACCAGATACTTTTAACTTAGTTGTGCATATCCTTTGTTGGACCAGGCATGAAAGAAACTATTTTTCAAATACTCCAGCGCTGAGATCTTATTGCTTTAGCTGGCCACACTCGAATGTCAGAGCTGCTGTGGCGCAGCCTCAATCAAAAGATGGAAGCTCCTGAAGACAGCGGCGAGAGCCACTTGCGCCCCTTGTCTGTGCGAGATAACTCGGGGACTTTGGCAAAGAAGAAGGGCTGGGGTGCCTTTTGGACTGCCACATTGCTGGAAAACATGGGAACCATCCTCGTCGGCCTCATCTACCCTGACTTGGCGGTGGCATCATTGAATGGTGGCATCGACCCGTGTGCTGGCGTTGGGGCGCAGAGCCTGAAGTGCCAAGAAGCTTTGTCAAAGGCGTCTGCAGCGTTTTCCATGTTTGGACTGATCGGCGCCATTTGCAGCTTTCTTTGCATACCCATTGTCGGAACGGCGGCAGATCACTTCGGCCGCCGACCTTTGCTGATCTTTTCCTTCTTGTGTTCGAAGGTGAGGGGTTTGGGCATGAATGGCCTTAACAGGGCATATTGGGAATGTCAAATGTTGAGCATGGTCAAATGTTGCTGAGCCCCTCGGGGCCCTAATTAGGCTGTAATTAAGTAAGGCTACAGTATACGACCTTTAGAATTCTCGCCCATCAATCGTGGCCGACCTAACATGCGCTTCTATTCATGATTCTGAAGTTCACGTTTCCAACACTGGACCCCAGATCTAGGACCTTGGACCTATGTTTAGACACCAACCTCACGACTGGGTCATGTCCGCCACACTCATTTAACTTGCTCAGTGACATGGCCGCCATGGCCTGAACCTCCAACTTTTGCAGGTGCCTACCATCACACTTCTTTGCGTGGCTTATGCCAACATCTCCATCTATTTCTTTTTTGCCGCCTTGATGATCACTGCCATGGTGCCCAGCACCATGCTATTCTGGTTTTGGATCAATGACATGACGACGCAAGACGAGCGCGTTCGAATGTTCGGAAGATTGCAGGCATTCTCCAATCTGGAAGGTATTGTCATACCCTTTTCTGCTGCGTTCATGCATGGCAAGCATGCCGTCCTCCTCCTAGCCAGCGTTCGTCTCTCAGCGGTGCTCACGGTGATTTGCTTCGTGCCAGAGTCACGGCCTCCACCTCAATTGAGGAACAGTTTGTGGGGAGATGGGCGGCTGGCATTTTTGAACCGATGGCAGGGGGTCTCAAAACTGTGTTCTGACCGCTCCTTGAGAACCTTCTTGCCATTGGCCTTCATTGCTTCGGGCACTGGAGCAGGCATCAATTCTTTGAGCTTCTTGTACTGCAAGGCAAGATTTGGCTTCCAGATGCAAAACTTCGCCCCTTTCATCTCAGTCACAACCCTTAGCAATGCGATTGTGAACCTGATGCTGATCAATCCGCTGCATCGTGTCCTCGGCTTACGTGGTCTCTTTGCCTTCTCCCTCGTAGCAGGCACTTTCAACCTGGTGGCTTTCTCTTTGGCACCCACTCCCATATGGTTGATGCTGGCCTGCATCACCTCAGGTTTGAGCAACGTGGGCAACCCTGCGATCCAAGCACTCATGTCCAACCTATCAGAGTCGGTACAAGGAATGACGCCAGGAGAGTCTGTTTTTCTTGGCCCGAGGCCCTACTTTCCTATTTTGTTATATAAGTAGGTGCATGTTCAATTGAGGATAAATAAAGAGAAATAAGCTAAGTTGGCTACTACATATGGACGGAGGATAGCTCATGCGTCTTCAGGGAAGCTCCTCCCGCCGCCTGGGGAGCTTCCTTGAAGAAGCGCTCGCATGAATGATTTGGTTTCCAGATTTTTAGGGAAGCTTAACAATATGGTACAGGGAATGACGCCAGGAGTGGCACTTGGAGCTTTACAAGCAGTGCAGTCCTTGGTTTTGACTCTCGGCTCACGAGTTGGTTTTGTTTGTTGTCCACAAATATCCAGGAAAATTGTAGGTCAATGGTGCCATCTCTCAGAAGTTGGTTTTGCTATGTTTTGCTTATTTGGGGTTTTGACTTTTGACCTATAATATTGATGCTCTCTGTATTTGTAACTTTTCTGCAAATGATTTCTTGGGTGAATTTGAGATCCGGATCTCCTACTATAGATGTGCTCCAAACAATTTGCAATATGTTATGAAGGACAACTTCTTTAGATTCGTTGACATGTCAGATTGATTCTTTGACAAGGATCCTGATGCCACCGCTTTTCCAGGGCATCTTCTCTTTTGCTATGAGCAGGCATCCAACACTACTCTTCTTGCCATTCGCCGTTGGTTCCATGTTTAATCTTATTTGTTTTCTGGCACTTTCTTGCATCCCGAAGAATTTCTTCCCACGTTCTGATTCCGAATAAATATCATTGAATAAAATATTCATTAAATCAAATTATTAATAAAAATATACTCAATATTTTGATATTTTGAATTATATAAAGAATATATATTATTATAATAAAAATATTAAGCGCCATTTCTAATTTAAGTGTCCGCGGTCGCGCTCGGGGGCTAATTGTTATGGTTTTTGTGGTTTTGCTTCTATAGATTGGCATGTGGTTTTTGTCGATATTTTCTATGGTTGCTTTGATATAACAAATATTTATAGAATTGGATTTTTTCGGTCCTAAATTCGGGAGATTTGAATTTTTATGTATTATTTTGTTTATTATAAGGATTCGAATTTGGCGTAAAGATTATTAATCTTTCTTTATGGATTGGTGAAAGTGCGATGCATTCTTATGCATTTACTACGATATGTATGAAAGCCAATGAAATCTACGGCTAGTTGGTGCATTAGTCTCGAATATGGCGCATTAAACGATTATTTCGTAGGGCATGTAAACATGCATTAATAATTGGACATATTTATTATTATGGCAGATGCTTTAAGGATTTAGATGTGTTATTTCGATTGCGAGGTTTTTTGAAGGTTGAAATATAGAGGTTAATACTGTAATTTTCGTTTCGACCGGCATAACAATCTGGAGTTATTCTGAAGATTTTCTTATGGAATGCTATACGAAGCTTGAATTATTATGAATGGTTAGCTTGGGGGCCACGGACCGACCTGAAGACGTATTCTTGATTTAAGAATCCAACTGGAAGTTTAATGGTCAATGGAAAATTGAACATTGATATTGCATTTATTGCCGAGAGGTTGCTGCAAGCCAGCTTATTATGGTCCGCAAAACTTTGATTCGTGCTTCTATGTTGGCATATATAGTATTGATTCTAGGTAGATTGTTGCATCTTCGCTTGATGCTAGACCGAATCCATGATGTGTATACAATATATTAGACGGCCTGGAATACGACCAAGCCAAGCCGAGCCGGCCTGGAATACGACCAAGCCAAGCCGAGCCCTTTTGCAAGAAAGGCAGGACCTGTGGGAGAAATTCCGTTAGTGTATTCAACGTATTCCTCAAAGCCACATGATGGTTGTTATTGGTTATTTTAATTGTCTGTTGTATTATGACTCGCAGTCCATAGGCAATCATGATCTACGCTTTGATCAGGCACTCCAAACTGATAAACATGATTTCCAACTCATGATCCGTGATCTGTCCTTGGTTGCCGTTCATTGCAAGCAGAAATATGTTCCCACCTTCTTGCATGGTAGTCATCAGACCCGAATAGACTTCGTTTTCATGAGATCCAATTAGATTAGGTGGAAACACTTAACTGCTTCAATCGACTGTCGGTTTGAGCGCATTGGTTTGCATCAGGGACCGCAACATCGACCGTTGCTGCTTGGTCTTCCCCGGTGGCATCCGGTCAGATCCGCTCCTTCGAAACTACCATCCATCGATCGTTTTCGTCTTCGACAGGAGATGATCGCAGACACAACCTCATGGAGACAATTCGTCAAGGAAGCCCAAAGTTGTATCCTCAGACATCAGTACCCCTGCTTGACCCATCCGATTGACAACTGTTACTCCATGGAACATGAACTTCGAGAATTGTGTCTTGAGCATTTTCCTCGTCAGAAAAAACCATTTTCTTCTGACAAGACTGTGGTATCCCTCACGGCCCGTATGTGGCATGCACGTCGACAGGCTAGACAGGTGCTGTACGTTCATGTTCGCACACTATTCCACAGTTGGAAACACCTCACCATCTTTGCGCGTTTGCATGCTCAGATTCGTAAATTTGGTAAGATCAATAAACGACTCAAGCTAGAGCAATTCTTGAAAGATAATGTTCCCCATGCTTTGTCAAATCGTATGCACGATTGGTATCGCAACATCCGTAAACTCTGTCCAAAGCAGCCTTTTCGTAAGATACAGTTACATGATAAGTTTGGAGCCCCTCTCCTTCCGCACCAGGAACTAGCTGCCCTTGTTGATCACTTTGGCACCATATTTCATGATGAGAATTTTGAGTTAGCACCTGCTCCGTTGAACTCCATCCCATTCACTCACGATCAGGTTGCATTGGCACTCTCCAAACTTCCAGTCACGAAGGCACTGGCTCCGGATGGGATGCCAGGATTGATTTGGAGATTCTTCGCACATGACATTGCAGCAGTTGTTTATCCCGCCATCGAATGTGCTTGGACTCAGTCGGGTATTCCCCCCTCACGTTGGGTCACGGGGTGGCTGCACCTCCTTAGTAAGCCAAATAAATCTCCCAATCATCCAGCTGCGCTCCGACCAATCTGCCTTCAGCACCCAGTCAGTAAGGTACTCACGGGCATCCATTGTGAACAAATGTTAGATCATGTCACGAAAGCTAGCATGCTAGCTGAGTTCTTCTTTGCTTTAGCAATGTTGTGGTGGGAGGGGCTGTGTGCCTTAAAGATTGATATATCAAGCTAACCCCCCCCCCCCCGCGGTTCAACTCCCAGCTGCGCCGTGTAGGGGGTTGGTTGAACGTGTGAACGTGGTTGGTTGGGTGTAAACGGTGGCTTGGTGTAAAGGGTGCTGCTGCTGCTACCGCTCTGCTGCTTGCTGCTGCTGTTTGCTGCTGCCGCTGGTTGCCGCTTTTGTAGCTGCTGCTTTGCTACTTGTTGCGGCTTGGCGCTGCTGCTGCTGTTGCTGACGACACCGCTGCTACTGCTGCTTGCTGCTTGCTGCTGCTGCTTGCTGCTTGCTGCCGGTGGTGCTTGCTGCCGGTGGTGCTGCTGCTGCTGCGGCTTGATGCTGCGCTGCTGCTGCGTGGTGCTGCTGGCTGGCTGCTGCTTGGTGGTTGCTGCTGGCTGCTTGCTGCATAGGACTTGTTTTTCACCGTTACAAGTTGTTTACCCCTATTTCTAACCTAATGCATGCATAAGCGGGTGGTAAATTTACCCCCCAGGCTTGCTATAACCATACACCGGCTATTTCCTCAAGACACTCTATTCCATATACCTTTTACCAGTGCTTATCCTACACTACGGACGCCCTAGTGTATGCACAGTCCTTGTGATGCTTACCCCTCGTTCCGGCTCAAGGCATACATAAGCGGGGGGTAAATTTACCCCCCAGATTTGCCATAACCATAAGCCGACTATTTCCTCAAGACACTCTACTCCTTATACCTTTTACCAGTGCTTATCCTACACTACCGACGCCCTAGTGTATGCACAGTCCTTGTGATGCCAGAAATGCTTACCCCTCTTTCCAGCACAAGGCATACATAAGCGGGGGGTAAATTTACCCCCCAGATTTGCAATAACCATACACCGGCTATTTCCTCAAGACACTCTGTTCCATATACCTTTTACCCGTGCTTCTCCTACACTACGGACGCCCTAGTGTATGTACAGTCCGTATGATGTCAGAAATGCTTACCCCTCTTTCCGACTCAAGGCATACAAAAGCGGAGGGTAAATTTACCCCCCATATTTGCCGATCACGCATCTTCGTGCCTGCCAACGAGTGCACCCGGGTTGTTCCAATGTACCCTTCCCAGTCAGCGATGTCACATTTACATTCTTTAGCGCAAAGTCTGTACATAGCAACCTTCCTCCCAAAACATGTAATCCCTACATGCTTTGCCGACTATGTAACTAGTACATCCGGTGCGATTCGGCTAGCTTTCGACCTCTCCCCCTGGCCTCAAGTGCACTTCCATCTCTTTGCCGGGTTCCACTGTTTGCCTACCTACCGCGCCGCGGCACACAGGATTGTCTCCCGCTGACTTCTGAACATTGTCGACAGGTCAAAGCATTGTGCCAACACCACAAGAGTGACCCTTTCAAGTCTGGATTGTGGGGTGGCCTCCAGGTCTCACTCGATCTAGAAAAGGCTTTTGATGCTATTGACAGAAACTTAGTTCTTCATGCCATCCAAAAATTCGAGATGAACCCTGACCTTCAACTCCTTGTTCAGTCGTGGCAGCATAAACATAAGTACTGCATACCCCACAAGGATTTAATTGGACACGTCACAGCCAGCCGGGGTATAAAGCAGGGGTCCAAAGATGCCCCTTTGCTCTGGACCTTGAGTATGTACCTGATACTCGACCATCTGATGGCCAGTTTCGATCTGCAATGGATCACTTCCCATATCGTCATCTATGCAGACGACATCCACCTTAGGTGGCTCATCGATAGTCCAGCCTCGGGCCTGTCGGCCCTGCATGAACTAGCTGTGGTGCTGGGTACACTCAAGACTTTCCATTTCAGGGTCAATCTGACCAAAAGTGTTGCCATTATGCGCCTTGTGGGAAAGTCCGCTCAGGCGTTTTTGAAACGATGGACGTCGAGAACAAAAGAAGGACCTCGATTGCACCTGCCAGATCAATCCTTTAGCCTTCCTCTTGTCAGCAAGACAGACTATCTAGGTGTCACACTGAGCTATCGGGCATTCGATCATGACACAGTCGTTCGCAGAGTCAAAGCTGCCAATGTTTGCTTCCGTATCTTGAGGAAATGGCTCCTGGATCAACATCATCCATTGACAATTCGTCTTCGGTTGTATAACCAATGTGTTTTACCCACAATCTCATATGGCATACATGAGATGGGGATTTCAGCACGTAGCTTTCAGATGATTAATGGCTTAATCACCAAACATCATAGGACCATGGCCAGATCCCCTGTGCACCTGACCCGTAAAAACAACACTGAATTCTATACACGTATGCACATTGAACCTCCATGGTGTTATTTTGTTCGACAGCAAGCTCGTCTGAACGACTCACTGCGTCGACGCCGTGAAACCCTGATCCTTGAAGCCATGCAGATTGGTCAACAAGATATATGTGCTTTGACCCCAGCATACCCTGACAACCAATTGCAACCTACACCCTCGGCTTCAGCCTCGATTTCCCAGGCACCTGAACTCAAATGTCCAGAGTGTGATTTAGCTTTTCATCAGGCAGGACCCTGGAAGAGGTATATGCGTTCTGCACACCAGATTCCCTGCCATATCGAA